TAGTCGTCTTCCTCTTCTGGTGCGCGGAGCAAGCTGTTCAGACGCCGCCCTGCTGCTGGCCGAGGAAGTCGCTGGTCGGATTACCGACAGGAGGTTGGGGTTCCAGGGGAGGGGCTACCGATCGAGAGTTTCTCGCGGTCCACTCGCAGACGAGGCTCCCGCCCGAGACACCCTCCAGGCTGAAGCTCGAGGAGCACAGCAGTGACGACAGTGACAGGTTTTCCGTTGACACGCTCGGATTGAAAGCATGAGGTGGGGGGCCCCACAGGGCGAGAGCTCCCGCTCCGGACTCCCGTGCGGTTCACTCCCAGAGGGGGCTCCCGCTCGAGACTTCCTCCATGTTCGGGCCTCAGAAGCCCAAGAGGGACGGCAGTTTCAGGCTTTCCGATGACCCGCTCGGGTGAAAAACATAGGGGTGGGGGCCCACAGGAAGGTTGCTCCCGCTCGAGGGGCTCCTCGCGATTCATTCGCGGACGAGGCTGCCGCTTGAGACCTTCTCCAGATTCAGGCCTCAGGAGCTCCAAAGTAGCGACAGTAACAAGTTGCCCTGTGACCCGCTCTGATTAAATACATGAGGTGGGGGCCGCATAGGGATGGAGCTCCCGCTCGAGACTTCCTCGCGATTCATTCGCAGACGAGGCTCCCGCTCGAGACGTCCTCGAAATGGGAATCTGTGTTTGTGTGTTCATGAGTGTGTGAATGTGTGGAGGTAGTCATGTTGTTATGATGTGTGAGTGTTTGTGTGTGTGAGGTGATGATGATGCTGATGATGATGATGCTGATGATGATGCTGATGGTGATGGTGATGGTGATGGTGATGATGATGATGATGATGATGATGATGATGATGATGATGATGATGATGATGATGATGATGTCGTTGGTGATGATGCTGAGGATGATGATGCTGAGGATGATGATGCTGGTTCTGATGCTGTCGTTGACGATCCTGATGATGACGACGATGATGTTGATGATGGTGCTGATGCTCATGCTGATTATGCTGATGATGCTGGTGATGCTGCTGCTGATGATGATGATGCAGGTGATGATGATGGTGATGATGATGATGATGGTGATGATGCTGACGACGACGACGATACTGATGATGATGATGATGATGATGATGATGATGATGATGACTACGATGATGCTGCTGATGATGATGGTGATGATGATGACGGTGCTGATGAGGATGATGCTGATGATGCTGATGCTGATGCTGACTATAATGATGCTGATGCTGATGATGGTGTTGATGATGAGGACTAGGATGATGCTGATGATGCTGATTATGCTGATGGTGATGGTGATGATGATGACAACGAGTGTGATGACGGTGGTGCTGACGATGATGACGATGACGACGAAGACGACGACGGTGATGCTGCTGCTGATACTGATGATGCTGATGCTGATGAGGTTGATGATGATCATGATGCTGCTGCTGCTGATGATTCCGATTTTGATGACGAGGTTGATGATGCTGCTGGTGATGATGATGAGGATCATCATCAGGATGACGATTATTGTGATGATACTGATGGTGATGATATGGCTGACGATACTGTTGAATACTATGATGCTGATGCTGATGATGCTTCAGCTGACGATGCTGATAATGCTGATGATGATGACGATGCTGATGTTAGGCATGCTGACGATGACGATGATGGTGATGCTGATGGTGCTAATACTTATAATGATGATGCTGATGCTATCGATGATGTTTCTGCTGCTGATGATGATGCTTATGCTTATGCTGCTGCTGGTGATGCTGAGGATTATGGTGATGATGATGATGCTGATGATGATGAGGATGCTGATGATGATGATGAAGATGATGATGGTGATGATGATGCTGATGATGGTGATGATGATGTTGATTCTGAGGATGATGATGCTGATGCTGTTAGTATGCTGGCTGGTGGGTATACTGGTTCCTGCACGGGGTGTCCAGAGAAATTGAGATCCCCGTTTGGGATGTGGGGAACACATGGTCGTCTGGAGTATAGAGATTGGGGCCTGGTGCCCCAGTTGCCGCGCCCAGCCGAACTCCGCAACATCAGCGCTCTCTAGTGCCTGGCGCGCAGTGCCTAGCAGGCAGGCTTTGGCTTTGGCCTTGCCTTTGCCCCGTGCCTTCTCCTTGCCTTTGCCCTCGGGCTTGCTGGGCGTGATCACGCCAAGACAAGTTTATCACGCAGTAAGCGTAAGTTGTGACGCAACTGCTTCGAGTAGGGACGTCGAGCCTTGGCCCATCCGTAAGGTGAGGGGCCTATGTTTTGCATTGCCTGTCGCAACTTTTCCATACCCTTCCGTAGCGGTTCATAACTTTTTGGATGGGATCGAAGCAGCGCAGCCCTACTCGGAGGACCGCGCCGCAAGTTTATTATCTGATGGCCTTCGGCCCATCCGCCACCGTGCCTGGGTGGTGGGTATGGCGCCTATCGGATGTTCGTTGGGATCTCGTGGGAGGCCTCTCGGGGGCCTCGTGGAGGCCGCCTGGAGGCCTCTCGGGTGCCGTTTTGGAGGCCTCTTTGGGGCCTCTTGGGGGCCTCTTGGGGGCCTTTTGGGGCCTCTTGGGGGGCCCCTTGGGGACCTCGTGGGGCCTGCTGGGGGCCTCTTGGGGCGGAAGGCTCAGACTTTCGGTTCGTGTTTCCTCTCTTGGGACCCTCTTGGGGCCGTCTTGAGGCCGTCTTGGGCGCCTGTTGGGCCGTCTTGGGGCGCTCTTAGGCCATCTTGGGGCTCTCTTGGAGGCCTCTTGGGCCGTTTTGGGGTGGTCTTGGGGACCTATTGGGCCGTCTTGGAGCGTCGGAATGCCGAAAAGGCGAGAGCGCCCAACTCCTTCAACCACCTTGGGACAATTAATGATTTTTGCCTCTTGAGGCCCTCTTGGGAAGCCTCTTGGGAAGCCTCTTGGAGTCCTCTTGTGGCGTCTTGGAGGTCTCTTGGGCCATCTTGAGGCCACCTTGGGCGTCTGGCAGCGATCTCTGGGCGTCTCGGGGCCTTCTTCGGCCATCTTGAAGGAAGGTCATGCGACAAGACGCGGGGGAACCCAGGGCAACCGCGAAAAGGTCCGCCAAATTTGCGATTAGGCAAAGGACCTGAGGACACGCCCATTCCGTGCCCAGAGGCACGGTGACGGATAATGTTGTTATATTTGGTGATGACAAGCGAACGAAATGTTTCACACATTGACCAAGTGACTTATATCAGCATGTTTACATCGCGTAACCGATTAGCGCATTTGCAACTTCAGAACTGTTCCCAACACATATACGTCAGTTATAAGCAGCCACCTCCTGTATAACCACACTCACACAGCTGATACCAGTTGTGCAGGTTGACAGTACCCGATCTATCTATATATATATATATATATATATAACAAGCAACATTTTTTTTCCTGCAGAGCGACGGTAACAGGCGTGGCCAGGGGGATGGGGGGGAGGGGCGGGAGGGGGGGGGAGGGATTGGGGCCGGTCACGTCACGATTCGCACCGGCGCCGCCCCTGGGAATGCCCAACGTTGTGGCCGATTCCCCGGCGGCGCCCGCGCGAGTCGTGAGGTGACCAGGGGGTGGGGGGTCTGGGGCGGTCTCTGGTCGGCTAGACGTAAGAGTGACCTTTCGCCGGAGTGACCTTTGGGTGCGGGCCCAAGTGGATCCCCCAGTCGCCGAACGCGCTGCGCTATAAGCGGCTTGCGCGCTTGGGTTTGGCTTCCCCGCGCTCCCCTAATGCCATGCACCAAAGGTCATTCTTACCCAGGGTCACTCTTGCGTGTAGACGATCTGGCGTGATCGAGATTGGGACACACTGGGCTCTACATCCGACGAAGGCGGCCATGCACCACCACCGAGCCGGGCCAGGGCCACTCTGGGCCCCAGGGCGGTGTGCAGACCCTCCCGGGCTCGGCCAGGAGGGCGTGCACACCATGCCAAGTAAGACGCTGCCTCCTCCTCCTCCTCCTCCTCCCTCCTCCCTCCTCTCTCCTCCCTCCTCCCTCCTCCCTCATTACCACTTGGGGCTCAAGAAGGGCTCTCTTTTTCGGGCCGCTCCCCGAGAGCAAGGCTGGGGAACCCCTGTATGGCTGGGGCTCACCCTGGTCAGACAAGCCGCTTCGTTCCTCACTTCGTGCTCCTTGCAGCCAGTGGAGGCCCATGCCAAGAGACACCCTGCTTGCCTCCAGGGTGCCCTGGGTTTCTTGGGCTTCGATGATTTTGATACGGAGAGCGTGACGCTCCCACCCGAGGAATCCATGGACGCCCTGGGGTCTCAGGGTTGGGTTCCTTGCGGAAGGTTTCTTGTGGATTGGCCTCCACTGTATTTCGCGCTCCAAATTGGTGCAGCAGTCGTGCTGCAGTCGGCCTGGAGTAGTAGGTCGACCCTGCCAAGTCAAGGGTACCCTCGTGCCCTGTGTCTCGCGACCCATGCCTCCTGCATTTCTGTGGCACCGGGGCCCTTGGAAGGGTCGTGTGTCCTCTCGCGTTTCCTCTCCACTCAAGTCCGACTGCACCATGAGGAACGCAGCCCATCAGGAACGAAGGGGCTTTCCTGGCCACGGCGGTCTGAGGAACGGCCCGGCAGCCCGAGGGCCCCTCCCGGGCCCGAAGCGCTCCTTAGGTCAGCGTCTCGACTGCACTGCGATCCCAGACCCCCGGCGTCATTATTTTTTCACGACGTCGACCCTAGAGGTTTCGACCCGAGTCGTTTTTTGACGGTCCCGAGGCCCAGTGAGGGCCTCCAGATGCCGAACTTGGCGAAAACCCTCCCGTCGTGATTTTCTCATTGCTCGAGGGGGTCTGGGATGACTGTACAGTGCCGTTTTTAATACATGCTCCGCGTGCGGATCATGTATTAACAATGCAGGGACTTAGCATTCAAAACAACGATGAGTTCATGCATACATTTATTCCTAAATTAATCATGTATTAAAAATCTTATAATTCAAACATCCAATGTATTAAAAACTGCCCTGTAGCCATTTTCGGCTCAGGGCCCCGCCCCCCAAGCGGCGCCGGCGCGTGCGCGCGTGCGCGCGGCGCGCGCGCGGCGGGCGCGCGGAGCCGCCCCGCCAAGCCCGCGAATGGCCGGCCGGCGGGCGCTCGCGCTGTTCGGCCCGCCCGGGTCGGGCAAGAGCACCCACGGCGCCAGGATCTCCAAGGGCGTTCTAGATGTCGAGGGCATATAAAAAACGCCCCTGCCCTGGTTTACGAGGCGCTGTGCGCTGAAACATCTGTGGGCCGACGCGGTAAACCCTGCGCGATGTGCCGCGTCCTGGCGGCTCTAGGCTTTGGGGGTTCCCAGAGGGTTTACCGACCACGCACTTGTAACCCAGGGTAGGGTCGTTTTTCCATCCCTCAAAGATGGGGTCGGAGTAGATGGGGTCGGAGGATCGCGCCGCATCGCCGATGCATCGGCGATGCATCGGCGATGCGGCTCGAGGTGGGGCCCAAGTTTCTCCATGCCGACGTCGCCGATGCATCGCCGACGTCGCTAGTGCGTCGCCAGTGCGTCGCCGATGCATCACCGATGCATCGGCGATGCGGCGCGATCCTCCGACCCCATCTACTCGGACCCCATGTAGGAGGCCTCTAATTTACAAGGGTGTCCTCGAGGGCGCGAATCTATTCGCGCTTCGCGCTTCGCGGTTCGGCTCCGATTCCTCATCCTCCTCTTCTCCCCCTGCGGGGCGGCGCGAGAGCGCGAAGTTGGACGCCCTTGGATCACAGAGGAGGGGAACCCAGACGGGCTCGCGTCCTGAAATATTAGGACGGGAGGCTTCTCTGGCCGTTTTGGGCCTCATGGGGGCGTTTACCGGATCCCAAGTCAAGAAACCGGCCCAGGGTGAAAAGCCAGTCCAGGGGAGAGGGACCTGACTCCCAGGGACCCCGTATTGAAAACATCAGGACACCGTATGTCTGGGAAGGCACCGATACCGCTACCCTTGCCTCGTTTTCTTTTACTTCTGGGCTCTCTTTGGAGGCCCTCGTCGCCACCGCCGCGTTCGCCGCACAATCCTGGTCAGAACGCGCCCCAGGGGGAGGTCCGGGGAGTAGTGTTAAGTCGGGCCTGTCCCTCGACAGGAGTGTTCTTTTTAAATCGTATGGGGACGATTGGTGGACTATTTTTGAGCAGTTTTGGGGGGGTATTTCTTGACTATGTTTTATTTTTCGTCCAGAATCGGCCTGTTGAGGAACAAAAATCGCGACGGCAGGTTTTTCCCTGTTTTCGGTCTCGGGGGGCCCTTTCCAGGCCTCGGGGCCGTCAGAAAACGACTCGGAATGCAGAAACGGGTCCCTGGGAAGGGGTCCAGGCCCGTGGCGGTCGACGGGGGCGGTAGAAGCTCGACCACAAGAGACCTTCCACGAGAAACACAACCCCTACAGGCGGATTTTGGGCAAAAAAGTAAAAGACTCAACAAAAACAACAACTAATTTTTGATTGCTCTATATTGAAATGTCCCCTTATTATTTGTTGACTTGTTTTGAAGATTTCTCCTGTAGAGGGGCAAGCCCGACTGAACCTTGGAACCCCAGGACGTATATTGATTTCTGGTATGGGAACGTCACGTGCTCCATAGCAAAACCATCGAGACCCGAGAAACCCTGGGCACCCAGGAGGCAAGCAGGGTGGTTCTTGGTATGGGTTTCCACTGCAGGTAAACGCACATAAAAAGGGCTAGTGTTTTTCGTTTCCGTATTATTCCATTTTCCGTAGAGGCCTCTTAGATGGGGTCCAGATGGGGTCGGAGGATCTCGCCGCACCGCCGATGCATCGGCGGTGCATCCTCGATGCATCGCCGATACATTGGCGACGCAGGCGTTGAACAAATCGGCCCCTAAAGGCGGATTTTGGGCACCCTTCCGTTCCCCCGAGGATCTGCGAGCTCCTCGGGCTCGGGCGCGCCTCCATGGGCGACCTGCTGCGCGGGGCGTGCGCCACGGCGGGGGAGGTCGTGCGTGGTGGCCCTGCTCTCGCGTCGTGGCAGCGAGGAGGATTTTGGGAGGCTTTTTTTGGCAGCTTTCGGCCTCTGGGGGTCCTCGCTGATGGGCGGCGAGCCAGGGGGGGGAAGCGAGGAGGGGCGTGCCTTCTCGGAAGGCTCGGAAGTCCCCCGGCCTGCTGAGAAGTTTCCTGAGCCTGCCCCGAAGACAGGAAGAACTTCTCGGACTGCCAGAGGCCTTCTGAGAAGTCCCGCCGCCTTCTGAGAAGGCCTTCTCCTTCTCCTTTCCCCCCCTCGCTCGCCGCCGAGTTGAGCCTCGGGACCGCAAGAAGACGACTCGGGATGAGAAGCTGGCACCTGGGGAAAAAAAGGTCGGGACGTCGTGGTGTGCCCCGCATGGACCAGCATCGAGGCATCGCACCCTGAGATCCGTCGGCGCGAAGAACATGGAACATCGTAAAGAACAGGACCACCAGTGCCCTGGCATCCTTCTGTGGCATTTCTCGAGCCGGATCGATCTGTCAGGGTCCAGGGGCCCGAAATTAAGCGAAATCGCCCGTCTCGACAAACTGTGAGACGCCAGGGTGTCAGAGCATGGTCTGGGAGAGGTTGCAGCCACTATCCAGCGGGGTGGCCTGGTCAGCGACCCCGTGGTGCTCGGATGCTTCAAGGAATTCGAAGACGAATCATTTCATCAACACAAGCTCGGCGTCCCCCCAACATACTTATACTATGTGTTCGTCGCCCCCCCAGTGGCGACGCGCGCACGGAGAAATCTTGTAGTGTATGCGTCGTGGCGGGCGCTTTCTGGCCACACCGCGCGAGAAACGATATACCACAAGGTGGGTGCCCTGTATTTGTTCGGGTCGGACGCGCGCCTCCAAGGCGGACATCTTGTATTAGTGTGTCTCTGTGCGCCCACTTAGCTTTCCGAGCTCCGCGCGAGTGTCTTGGATCTGCGCTGGGCCCCCGGCGGCACCTCTGGGGCCGCCCCTGGCGCGGTGCGCGCTCCAGGGAAGGGGGCCCAGCGCCGATCCAAGAAATCCGCGCGGACCTTCGAAAGTTTATGTTCAGCAGGGAGCAGTAGTCACAGGCACAAAGAAATACAGATTTTCACGAAGATGTGGGGAACTATGGAACGTGGAGGGGGGGGGGGCGAAAGCCCAGAACCCATGGACAAAGATAGGGAAGCCTGGAATTCCCAAGGACTCCCGACGTCGTGATGGTTTCACAACGTCGACCCCCAGAGGTCTGGATCCCTTCCCCCAGACCGCTTTCTCATCCTGAGTCATTTTTCGACGGTCCCGAGGCCCGGTAATGAAGGGCCCCCAGAGGCCGAAAACAGCGAACACCATTGCGTCGTATTTTTTCACAACGCGAGGGGGTCATGTGATTTCTGTCCACTGATCGGTGTCCAGGAGTCGACCTGAACGGTGTTTTGGCGATTTCGAGGGCCGTTTTCGTTTCGATTTTTTCGTTTTACAGCAAAGGTGGATGGATGACAAAACGAGGGAATCTAGGCCTCTCAAATTGGGTCGGAGTAGATGGGGTCGGATGATCGTGCCGCATCGCCGATGCACCGGCGATGCGGCTCGATGTGGAGACCGATTTTTTCAACGCCTGCGTCGCCAATGTATCGGCGATGCGTCGAGGATGCACCGCCGATGCATCGGCGGTGCGGCGAGATCCTCCGACCCCATCTGGACCCCATCTAGGAGGCCTCTACGGAAAATGGAATAATACGGAAACGAAAAACACTGGCCCTTTTGATTTGCGTCTACCTGCAGTGGAAATCCATACCAAGAACCACCCTGCTTGCCTCCTGGGTGCCCAGGGTTTCTTGAGCCTCGATGGTTTTGCTATGGAGCACGTGACGTTCCCATACCAGAAATCAATATACGTCCTGGGGTTCCAAGGTTAAGTCGGGCTTGTCCCTCTACAGGAGAAATATTCAAAACAAGTCAACAAATAACAAGGGGATGTTTCAATATAAAGCAATCTTAGTTGCTGTTTTTTGGGTCTTTTACTTTTTTGCCCCAAATCCGCCTGTAGGGTTTGGGTTTCTCGTGGAAGGTCTCTTGTGGTCGAGCTTCTACCGCCCACGTCGACCGCCACGGGCCTGGACCCCTTCCCAGGGACCCGTTTTTGCATTCCGAGTCGTTTTCTGACGGCCCCGATGCCCGGAAAAGGCCCCCCCGGAGACCGAAAGCAGGGAAAAACTTGCCGTCGCGATTTTTTTCCTCCCAGCAGGCACCGCTGGCCGAACCCAACGGGCAAACGCCCGAGCCGCCCGAAACGGCCTTGCGCGCGAACGGAGCCGAGGCAATGTGAATCAGCAGCATGAGTCCTTGAGCCATAGAGGGGGAGGAGGAGGAGGAGGAGGAGGAGGAGGAGGAGGAGGAGGAGGAGGAGGAGGAGGAGGAGGAGGAGGTGGAGGAGGAGGAGGAGGAGGAAAAGTGCGAGGGGGTCTGGTTGTCGAGGCCTTTGGGGAAAACGAAGAGAGCACTGTCCAGGTCGATCCCTGCTCGTGTCACTCCCTGGGCCCCCCTCTTGTCCGTGTGCGCCTCTCGAGGAGCTCGGGTGGACCCAGAAGGGGGTCCAGCGACAAAGGGGGTGGTGCAATAGATTTGGTGCAATAGATTTGCGGGGTTGCAACACATCTGGGGCGTGCACCACATTCCTGGGCGCAAATGTACTGCTGGATCTTCGCGTGCACTATTCACTACTTGCAGGACAATGCAATACAATTCTCCGGCGCAGTGAAGTTGCAACACAATCACCCCAAATCTATATTGCACCACTCCCTTTCAGCTGGACCCCCTTGTTGGGTCGACCGAACTCCTGTTAGTGTGCACCTCTCGGGTCGGGCGAAAGGGGGGGATAGCAAAGGGGGGGTTTGAGAAGCAGCTCACGTAGCTGATTTCCCCGGCGCCTCCCGGCGCCGGAGGCGACTCTGTATCGAGGAACGGGCCCCTCGGTGGGGCCGAAACCAGCTGCATGGTGCAAATTTCGTAACCCCCCCTTTCCCAATCCCCCCCTTTCGTCCGGCCCGAACCCTGTCCACGCCGCCGCGGCCTGTGTCAATTCGAGACAGGAGGCCGCCTGCCCAACAGCGGCCGCTGTTGGTTTGGGACAACATTTGCTGTTGGGCATTGTGCCCATTCTTTCCGTGCCCATCTCGGGCGTCCAAACACATCTATTGCACCACCCCCTTTCAGCTGGACCCCTTTTGGACCGAACTTGTGTTTGTGTGCACCTCTCGGGTCGGGCGAAAGGGGGGGAATAGCAAAGGGGGGCTTGAGAAGCAGCTCACGTAGCTGATTTCCCCGGCGCCTCCCGGCGCCGGAGGCGACTCTGTCTCGAGGAACGGGCCCCTCGGTGAGGCCGAAACCAGCTGCATGCTGCAAATTTTTTAGCCCCTCCTTTCCCAATCCCTCTTGCGACTTGGAGCGCCTCTTGGAGCCATCCTGGGCCATCTTGGACGCTGCGGCGCCTCCGTCCCCCCCCCCTCCAGGTCCAGGGGAGGGGGTAGGGGGAGGGGTCCAGACCCCCCCCCGCCCGCAAGCCGTCTCGCTCACTCCCACCCGCCCTCCCAACACATACGTAGCACCCGAGTCTGGCCCGAGCCTCAGCACAGTCAGCAGTCGTCTTTGGATGGGTAGCTACTGGGGGCCAATCCGCCGCCGCCACCGCCGCCTCCGCCGCCGCCGCCGCCGCCGCCGCTGCCGCCGCCGCCGCAGCCGCAGCCGCTGCCGCTACCGCTACCGCCGCCGCCGCCACCGCCGCCGCCGCCGCCGCCGCCGCAGCCGCCGCAGCCGCCGCAGCCGCCGCCGCCGCCGCCGCAGCCGCCGCCGCAGCCGCCGCCGCCTCCGCCAAGTGTACTCTGTATCGTTTTTTGACAGGGATGGTGTGGGGGGGGGCGCATCGGGTTGGCTGCGCATGTTCCGAATTTGGAGGCAGAGTGTGTTTTGTATGGTTTTTTAAAAGGGATTATGGGGGGGGTGTTGTCATGGACTCGGCTTGGCCCCCAGTCGCCTGGGGGAGGGGGGTGTTTATTAATAGGGAACAGTGATAACCCCCTCCCCCGAGCAGGGGAAGGAGGGGTAAGAGAGAAGAACAAACTCGCTACGCCACCGTAGCCTTAAAGGGCTGGTGGGATTCCGCAACCCCCCCCTTTCCCAATCCCCCCCTCCTCGTCCGGCCCGAGCCTCGAGGAGTGGCTGGGGCGGCAGGGCCCCGGCGCCGGCGTGCTGCTGGACGGGCTGCCGCGCACCGCCGACCAGGCCCGCGCGCTGGACGCGCTGCTAGCGGCGGAGGGCAGCCGTGTCGAGGCCGTGGTGGTGCTCCGAGGGTCGTGGCGATCGAACTGGGTACGGAAAGGATCTCAAGCAGTGGCGAAGCGTCCCGGCTTGCCTATAGCCCCACCAGACAATGTTCTAAAAACCTTTTGTGGTTTCCAGGAAATGTTCTTAGAACATTTCTGGCGGAGTCTGTCTTGTTTTAACACATCGGGATTTTGTTCTAAGAGCATTGTTTTTGTTATTAGAACGTTTTTGGGTTCTAAGAAGTATGACTATAGGAATGCCGGGACGGTCGGTCCCTGCTCAAGAATCAGAGGAGGAACGCCCAGACATGTCAGCCACGCGCAGGGGGGGGGTGGGGGGAGGGGGGGAGGGTTCTTAGAAGCACCCTGCTTCTAAGAAGCCTTCCCCCCTCCCCCACCCCCCTGTGCGCGCCGCCAGGCATGACTGCGTCGTAGCAAAAGTCAGGACGGGAGGCTTTTGGCTGTTTTCGGCCCCGGGGGGCCCTTCCCGGGCCCCGGGGCCGTCAAAAAACGACTCAGGACGGAAAGCCGATCCCAGGGAACGGGTCGGGGCTTCCAGGGACGCCGTCTTGAAAAAATCAGGACGTCGCATGTCTGGGAAAGAATCATAGGAGGAAAATATACCCGTACCGCTAGGCTTCTTCGCCCATTTTTCCCTTGTTCGGGCCTCCTGGGAGGCCCTCGTCGCCGCCGCTGGATTCGCCTCGCACTCCTTGTCAGAACGCACCCCGGGAGAGGTCCAGGGGGTAGCGGTATCGGTATCTTTCTGTCTCCCCGAAGAATCGGTACGATGCCCAACGGCAGTTCTTGCTCATTCTGAACAAGAGTCGCTGTCCGCGCCGCCGCGGACGTTGTTCGTTGAATGCCAAAAGCCGCCTGCTCAACGGTGGCCGCTGTCGGTTTTGGACAACCTTTGAGCACAGCGCTCATTCGCTGTTGGGCATTGTACGCATTTTTTCCGTACCCACTTCGGGCGTCCAAATATGGGAACATCGGGGAGACGCAAGACTCGAGAGCGGGTGCTGCCGATGCTTCTTGACGTGCGCGTCCCGGGTTTGGACGGTCCAGTTTTCGGGGGTTGTCTGCGGCGGGTCCAGTCTTCGGGGGTTGTCAGACTGGGTCTCGTCAGTTTCATGGTGGCCCCGTCAGGCCAACCCGAGTCCCCCGAACCCGAGTCTTACGTCTCCCCGAGATACGTCGGCCACGCGCAGAAGAGGGTGGGGTCACGGGGGAAGCACTCCTGCTTCTCAGAGGGCGCGGGCCTGATCTGTTGCTGTGAGGCCAGCGCCTTCTCAAGAAGCAGCCTCCTTCTAAGAACTCGGCATCGCTCGGACGTGTGCATTTTTCCTTCGGCGAGGGCCATCGAGGAGCATCCTTGATCATTTGGCGAAAAACCACGCACGAAACCGACAAAAAACACAGGAAATGGACGTCCGAGCGATGCCCAGAGAAGCCTTCCCCCTTCCCCCTTGGCCCCTTTGTGCGCGCGACCGAGGAAGGCATCGATGCCGCTACCTCCTCGCCTCGTCTTCGCCTTCTGGGGCCCCCTGTGCGGCCCTCGTCGCCGCGGCTGGCTCCGCCTCGAAATCCTGGTCGGAACGCACCCCGGGGGGGAGGTCCAGGGAGTACAGTCAGGGCGCTGAAAAAGGAAGCCTTTTCGTTGGGGAGGGGCTCCGTGTTCCTTAGTTGTTTCGCAGTTTGCCGTGGGTTTTCTTTAGGTTTTCCATGGGAAATCGAAGTTCAATGTGTGGAGAAAAGGGGCCTCGTTCCTTATTTAGGGTTCCTTAGGTCAACGCCCCGACTGTAGCGACACCGGTATCTTTCGGTTCCCCCAGGTGCTGGAGACCCCGGACGAGGATCGAGACACAGCAGAACTGCACAACTATAAACTTTCGGAGCTCCGCGCGGAGCTCTTGGATCGGCGCTGAGCCCCCCTTCCTGGCGCGCGGAGCGCGCCAGCGCGCCAGGGGCGCCGTCAGTCAGCGGCGAGCGAGCGAGGGGGGGGTAAGTGAGAAGGAGAAGGCCATCTCACGAGGTGGCGGATCTTCTCAGAAGCCTTCGCGCCCTCTGAGAGGTCTCCCCTGTCTTCGGGGAGAGCTCACGAGACCCTCCAGAAGCCCAGAGGCCTTCCGAGCCTTTCGAGAAGGCCCGCCCCTCCCCACTCCCCCCCGGGCCTGCCGCCGAGCCAGAGGCGCCCCCGAGGGGGGGGGCTGGCTTCGATCCAAGGGAATCCGCGTGCGCGCCTGCCCTCCGAAGCATCTCCGTCTCACTGGCCAGTTTCGGTCCCGTCGGATGCTTGACCCTTTCCCCTCGACACGTCGATCGTTGGAAGCAGGTCTTTCTGGACTCCCAGATGCCAGTCTACTCTCGGCGCCTTCGTGCTTCAATGATCGAGCGGTGTCCCCTGTTCCTCCTTCAGGGGGCGGGCGGAAGCCCAATCTACTCCAAGGCCTTCATGCTTCTACCCACTTCTTCCGACCGACGGGTACTCGTGCATCAGAGGAGGAAAAGGTGCTCATACCGCTACCATCGCCTCGATGTTGCCTTTTTGCGCCTCTTGGGTTGCCCTCGTCGCCACCGTTGTATTCGCATCGGAATCCTAGTCAGAACACCCCGAGCGGTATCGATACTTTTCGGTTTCCCCAGTGCACGTTGCATGTCGCCTACTGGGACTCACTGCTTCCACAGTCCTCCGCGATCTGAGTGCCTTGCACTGGACACCGACTGTGGATACGAGTAGGGGCACTTTCGTATCATGCCGCGTCCTAGCTTCCCACGATTGCTGCTGTTCGTCTTCTGGCTGACGCCACGGTTGCCAGCACTTGGTGCGCGTGACGGCTGGTTTTGGCAACAACGCTGCCCACTCTCCCTGCTTCTTGCCTTGTGTTGAATTTTTGGAGTGACAGTTGGGACTGTCGAGTTCTGGACGCAGCACTTCCCCGTTCTGGCTGATGCGTTTTTGGTGGGACTTCGTGTCGATAGGCCCGTGCTTTCTCTCCCCTCCTCGCCTCCTCCTCCTTCCTCCTCGTGCCGACTTTGTCCCACAGTGTTCGTGGCATTGCGACCCGATTTGCAGTGCGAGCCGCTGGGCGTGATGTGCGTGGGGTGCTGAATGGTGTGGTCCGTGGGGGAACGAAAGCATCCCAGAAATCCGCGCGGAGCTCCGACCGTTTAGATATGTATGTTTTGTTTTGTGGCTACTGTTGTTATGATTGTTCGTGTTGTTGTTGTTATTGTTGTTGTTGTTGTTGTTGCTGTTGTTGTTGCTGTTGTTGTTGTTGTTGTTGGTGTTGGTGTTGATGTTGGTGTTGGTGTTGGTGTTGGTGTTGGTGTTGGTGTTGTTGTTGGTGGTGTTGGTGGTGCTGTGGTTGTTATAGTTGTTGGGTGTGGTGTCGTTGCTGTTTTTGTTGTTGTTGTTGTTCTTGTTGTTGCCGTTGCTGTTGCCGTTGCTGTTGTTGTTGTTGTTGTTGTGGTTGTTGTTGTTGTTGTTGGTGTTGCTTTTGTTGTTGTTGTTGTTGTTGTTGTTGTTGCTGCTGCTGCTGTTGTTGTTGCTGCTGTTGCTTTGGTGCTGTTTTTTTTCTTCCTCTCTCTCTCTCTCTCTCTCTGCAGGAGCTCCAGGAGCGCGTGTGCGGCCGGTGGACGCACGGGCCCTCGGGCAGGACCTACCACGCCTTCCGCCCCGGGGCGCAGCCCCGGTCGCTGCGCCTGCGGCCGCCGGGCGAGCGGCCCCTCGCGGAGCACATGCTCGACGACGTCACCGGAGAACGAAGAAGAAGAATAAACAGAATAATCACAGGAATAATAAGAAACATAATAATAGCAATGATATTACTCATAATAATAAGAATTATAATAAGACTAATCATAATAATGATAATGATAATCATAATACTAATAATATTAATAATACTAATAGTACTAATAATACTACTATTCATAATAATACTGTTACGAATAATAATACTACTAATAATAATAGTGATAATAACAATAACAATAGGAAGAATAATATGAAGAAAAAGAAGAAGACTAATAAACATAATACTAATATCAATACTAATACTAATAAGAAATAATGCTAATAACGCCGCAAACACAAACTTCTGGCCCTCCCAACGCGGGTCCCTTCCCGGAGGGACAGGGGGCCATTTCTGGGGTCAGTCCGTGGACGGAGGGCGAGCCGGTGTCAAAGGTGGACTCTCGCCTTGGCGCCGCGCGCACTCGCGTCCCGGATTCGGCGGCGAGCCCGGGGGGAGATGAGAGGGGGCGGGCCTTCTCATAAGTTCTCTCAGCCTGGCCCCCGGCGGCGCCTCCGGCGCCGCCCCTGGCGCGCTCCGCGCGCCAGGGAGGGGGGTCCAGCGCAGATCCAAGAAATCCGTGCGGCGCGCCAGCAATTGTTGTTTCTGGCTTTTTCCCCACCCCCACCCCACCCCACCCGTTTCCTTTTTTTTGGTTGTTTTTTTGTATCTTTTTTTTTTTTTCTTATTCTTATTATTCATATTTTCATTTTTCGTATATTTCTTCTTCTTCTTCTTCTTCTAGGAGAGCCGCTCGGCCAGCGCCCGGACGACACGCTGGAGGCCTTCCTGGTCGCCGCGTAGTCCAGGGCGCCCTCGAGGGCGCGAAATTCGTCGCGCTGCGCGCTTCGCGGTTCGGCTCCGATTCCTCCTCGTCCTCCTCTTCTCCCCTTGGGGGCGGCGCGAGAGCGCGAAGTTATTCGCGCTTCGCGCTTCGCGCAGCGCGAAGCGCGAAGCGCGAAGTGAGGCGCCCTTGGTAATGGGGGGTGATAAATGGGGGGGGGCAGCGAGGGCTGCAAGAAAGGGGCCCTTGAGGGCCCCCAAAGGGCCCCCCCCCCGGGCCCCAGAGGGAACTTTTTGCAGGGCCCGAAAAGTGGACCTTCCCCCCCCCGCCAGCCCTGTAGGGCCCCAAGGGGGGGGCCTCTCTAGGGCACGAGTAGGGCACCCTTTTCTCCCCCCCGCCCATCTTTGTCGCCCCCCCGACCACGCTGCGACCAGCCTTCGCTCGCCGCATGGCGGCGTACCGCGCCGAGACGGCGCCGGTGCTCGGCCACTACGCGGGCCGCGTGCGGCGCGTGGACGCCCGCGGCACGGTGGAGGAGTCCTGGCCGAGGGTCCGCGCAGCGATCGCGGACCTGCCCCGCCCTTCGCCAGAAAAGTCCCCGTGCCGCCGCCGTCTTGCGGTCGGGCCGAGAAGAGCCCCGCACGAGGTCCGAGGCCCCGCTGCGGCTCACGAGCGGAGCGGGCGGGGCTTGCGGGGCCGCGGTCGGCCCCCCCGGGGGCCCTCGCCGGGCCTCGGGAGCGTCGAGGAACGGCTGGGGGCGAGAAGCCGGCCCCGGGGAAGTGGTCCAGACCCCCTGGGCTTGTGGAGGACGAGCAATGGAGAGGAAACATGTTGCATGTTGCCCAATCATTTCCAGGTGTCTAAGCACATATGTGTTTAACGGGTCTTTTTGTTATCTTTTATTTTATTATCTTAAAACATAAAATTGAAATCAAAAACATGTAAAAACACATGATTAAAACATGTTTAGGACATTATTCGACATTTTAAACACATTTTAAATTCGACGACAGGACTGTTAGGGTGTCCATTGTCGTGGCATCCACAACCCTGGGCCCATGCCTCGGACAAGTTGGGGCAGCCGGATGCCTGGGAAGGGCCCTGCCACCCCTGGCGGAGCAGTGAGCCACGTCGTGGATGGGCACGAGCTCCAGGAGCTCGCCACTGCGCGCCACCACCACGTCCACGTCCGTCTCCACCTCCACCTCCTCCTCCTCCACCACCTCCTTCACCTCATCCTCCTCCTCCTCCTCCTCCTCCTCCTCCTTCGTCCCTCCCCCCCCCCCTTGTCGGGAATGGCGAGCCCCCCCCCCCCTCGCGAGGCTGTCACCCTCTTCGCCTTCGGGGACTACTTCCCTGCCGTGGCGACCACGGATAAGCTCTGCCGCGTGGCAGGACCGACCTGCCCCAGGGTCGGCTGGTTTGGGAGCCCGCGGGGGGGCCCGCCCAGCAGGAGCGGTGGGGAATTGGAGCCCTTCGCCGCAGCGGCTGGGCGCGGCTCGAGTAACTGGTCCGTTTCGACGCCCGGGAGGGGTTCGGGGAGCGATTTTCTGAGCGGATTTGCCCTCGACGCTCCTCTTGCCCGATTTTTTTCGGGGCCCATGCAGCGCAGACCCCCCGGCCGCTCCCAGAGCTGGTTCGACCCCGCTCTCCTCCGTCTGTTCCGTCGCCTCCTCTTCCGCCTGCCGCTGGCCGAGTAGCTCAGAGGCGCACGGTAAGGATGAGGCAGAGTGTTGAGGACAGGTGATGCAGTCGGGCCGAGGTTTAAGATCGAGGTCGGTTCGGAGTGCGTACCCTGATGGTCTTCGTGCTTGCTGGATGGTCCTGTGCATCCTAGGGGACGGTACCCTTGGACGTTATGTGCGTCTTCGCTCGCAGAGGGTCTCGTGTTCCTGAAGGGCGTTCTTCTGGCCTGGGTCCGACTGTAGGACAAGTTGTAGCCCAGGGCATTTGTGCGGCTCTGGGACCAGGTGCCAGAGGAGCTGGCTCTCAAAGGGCCGCCGCCGAGATCAGAACCATGTTATCCATTATTACGACTGGCGTGTAAATCAACATTCTGCCTATCACGACGGCCTCTCTCGTGCGCAGCTCGGCTAGAGTCAAAGGATTATCGCTGGGCTCTGGCCGATCGTCAGGGTCGCGTTGTCAACCAATTCGTCGAGCGAGCGTTGCATGCGCACGGATCGTACCGTGACAAAGTGCGGTGCAATACCGTTGCGCGGTTGCTGCGGATGCTTCTCTTCCTTCTCCCCCCATACTCGGAGGTGGTGGAGGAGGAGGAGGGTGGAGAAGGATGATGATGATGATGATGAGGAGGAGGAGGAGGAGGAGGAGGAGGAGGAGGATGAGGAGGAGGAGGAGGAGGAGGATGAGGACGCTGTGGGTTCTTGGATATTGTGAAAGCCCTACGGCCAGTGCCGCTGACCCAGAAGGACGACGATGACGATCACGACGACGACCACGACGACAACGACATCCTCCTTCTCCCCTCCATATGAGGAGGGGTGGAGGAGGAGGAGGAGGAGGAGGAGGAGGAGGAGGAGGAGGAGGAGGAGGATGGGGAGGAGGAGGAGGAGGAGGAGGAGGCTGTGGGTTCTTGGATGTCTGAATGGCTTGTTTGCAGAATTTCAGGGCACCATGCGAGGATGCTGGAGGAGAGAACGAGCTGTCGCTCCCTTCTCTCCCCTCGTCCTCCTCGCCCTTTTTTTTGTCCTTCTCTCTGTCCTCGTCGCCCTCGTCCTCTTCGTCCTCCTTTTCATCTTGTCCCCCTCCCCGCCCTCCCCGCCCACCTCGCCCTCCTCGCTCTCCGCGTCTCCGCTCTTTTCGTGCTCCTCGTCTTCGCCATCTCTGCTGTCGTCGTCGCCATTCTCCTCTGCCCTCCTTATCTGACCTCGGTTCATGGTGACTCTCCTCTGCAACATCGTCACGACATGAGTGTCGACACACCCAAACGTGTGCGAACTCAACATGCGTCGAGGCGATCAGCATTGACGGGGGGCAGATGATGATGTTGCTGTTGCTGATGATGATTATGCTACTGATGATGCTGATGATGATGCTGCTGATGATGATGATGTTGATGATGCTGATGATGCTGATGATGCGGTTGTTGTTGATGGTGATGCTGATGATGACGACGATGATGATGATGACGATGATGACGATGCTGCTGCTGCTGATGATGCTGATGATGATGATGATGATGATGATGATGATGTTGATGGCGATGGTGATGACGATGCTGCTGCTGCTGCTGATAATGACCAGGACGATGCTGATAATGATGATGTTACTGATGCTGGTGCTGATGCTGATGATGATTACGACGATTATGATGATGATGCTGATGATGATGATGGTGGTTACGGTGGGGGTGGTGATGATGCTGCTGGTGGTGATGATGATGCTGCTGCTGCTGATGATGATGATGCCAATACTGATGATGAGGATGCTGACTGTGATGATGATGCTGATGATGCTGCTGAAGATGATGCTGTTACTGATGCTGCTGCTGCTGCTGCTGATGATGCCGATGATGATGATGATGATGATGATGATGATGATGATGATGATGATGATGATGATGATGATGATGATGATGATGATGATGATGATGATGATGATGATGATGATGATGCTGATGCTGGTGATTATGGTGACGGAAGATGTGGTGGAGTAGGGATCGGAGGCGAACGACGAACCATGTAGTGACGACGTGGAAGGCGTGAAGGAGGAATTTGACATTGAGGATGGTGAAGGGGAGGAGGATGAGTGGAAGGTCGAGGATGAGCTTGGCGAGTTGTCGATCGAATGGCCGCAGACATGCCTTGCCCCGCTGGTCCACGAACCCCCCTCCAGATGTGCTCTGCTGCAAGCCGAGCGAGCTGGCGTTTTACCCTGTGCCCAAGGCGGACTGCCCCGCCAACTGCGCATGCTTTGCAACGTCAGAAGAAAACATTTGTTGCAGTGGTCTCCTGTAAGAGGATGGCAGACGGGGGTCGTGAAACAACATCCCTGCAATTCCGGGTGACAAGATCTAGACAGATCCACGGCACCCTGGCCAGGCCCATCCTGAACCCAGGAGTTGTGTTTACGCCCTCATGGCCAAGCTAGGTTGCGTTGCATCTTCGGGGGACCTCGCCTGTCCCGAAAACTGGTGTCTTTTCTTGTGCTCGACGCGGGCTCGAGGCGGACTCGACGCGGATTTGGGGTGGATTCGACGCGGATTCGACACGGATTGGACACGGATCCGACGAGGCCGACACGAGTTCGACACGGATTCGACGCGGATAGGGCCGCGACGGGACAGACAAGGTCCCCCGAGGATGGAACAGAACGTTGCCAGGTTCAGGATGGGCCGGGCCAGGGAGCAGTGGACACCCATATATTGAAGTCGGGCGTGTCACTCTACAGGAGGAACATATACTCAAGAACAGTCCCAAAATGGTTTGGCGACGATGTTTCGGCCTCTTCTTTTTTTTGTTTGTTTTAATTCTGATGTTGGAGTTTTGTTCGTCCAAAATCGGCCTGTAGGGGGACATGCCCGACCCAAGCATGGAGCACCGCCCTCCGATCGGGCCACGTTCGCAGGCCTAGAGGTTGACACCAGCACCAATATCGGCGGTGCGCCTCAATCGAGGGGAGAAGATCCCGATCTCGGTCATGGTGGTAATATTCGGGCTTCCTAGGTGGCCGAACTATTGCCACCAACACCGAAATCTAGGATCATCTTCCCCCTGTGGAGGCAACCCCCTGTGTTGGTGTCGGTGCTAATGTCCAGGCCTCCAACAGCCCAACCCCAGACTCAAGCAGCGGCGAAGCGTCCCAGCTCGCCTATAGGCCTACCAAGGAATGTTCTAAGAACTGTGCTAAGAGCCTTTTGCGGTCTGCACGACATGTTCTCATAACATTTCTGGCTGGGGCTGTCTTGTTTAAAAACACGTCGGGTTTATGTTCTGAGACCATTGCTTTTGTTCTTAGAACATTTTGGGTTCTAGGAGCATGTCGTGGTAGGTCTATAGGATTGCCGGGACGGTCGGTGCCTGCTTCAACAGACCTGATCGCGTCGTAAAAAAGATCAGGACGGGAGGTTTTTGGCCATCTTCGGCCCCTTTGGGGGCCCTCGCCAGGCCTCGGGGCCGTCAACAAAACGACTCAGGACGAAAAACCGGCCCTTGGGAAAGGGTCGGGACTGTCAAGGACGCCGTCTTGGAAA